AGCATATTCTTTGACAACTTGCCTGCTTTTGCCTCACACTCATTTTTGTGTCTCTTCCAGAAGGAATACAAGTAGTGATGGCGAGATGAAGCCTTATGAAGCTTTGAAGCTTTCCAGCCAATTGGTTCGCAAAAGGGTTCATCTCATGAGGCTTCATCATGGGCTTCATTTGAACACAAACCCCCCTGTTGGTCAAAGTGTGTAAAACAGGCAGATTTGACATCTCAACAGTGTGCTCTATCTCATACCGAGTTCCCAATGAGTAAAGCCTTAGAATAACTCTTAACAACGAACATAAAATCATATTTTCATGTTAACAATATTGTTTTTATTCCAGTTGAATGATTGTGATTGAAAAGCCTAAGGAGGCTGGTAAACATTGCAAAGAGGGATTTGTATTCCTTAATAATATTCATAAACGTAACCATGTTGTAGCCTGAGAAAGGCTAAACCATATCAAAGAATACATTTATTAACTACATTATCTCATTTAGCTGTAGCTTTTATAAACAACAAAAAAGACGTATTGTTCAGTCGTTGAACCAGGGACCCTGCGGTCGTGAGTCAATTGCTTTCCAGCTGAGCCACAGCCCGCACACTGAATCTCCTTGAAAACACTCCATCGTATTTATTCCTGTATTTATTCATGTTCCTACATTTATTTATGCTTGTATCTATTTATACTTATGACATGTTCCGACCTCTATATAAGTGAGGGTCTGAGCTCTTTTAATTCCATCGTGTCACCAGCGGACCCGGGTACAGGAGGGGTAATATGGTTCTTATTATACATCCATGGGTATTATGAGCGTTGTGGTTCAACGGTTCAACCGATCTGAATCGCTTTCTGAAGCAGTCACGTGGTATCGACAGGCAGCGAGGCTTCGTTTGTCATCGATGACGTCACTGGCCCAAAACGATACAAGGCTCGATACATGCTTCACAAAAAGCTTCGGGGATTACTCGACACACGCTCCGAAGCCTCGGCACAATACGTAACATCACTAAATACAAGGCCTTCCACACTCCCAAGACCAGCCAGGCCTCTCTACCCTGGAACAACTGTTTCCCACTGCCGCCATAACCAACCTCCACTCCCAGCTCCCCTTTTCTAATAAACAAATGTTACTTTCACCAGCTGATTCCGAGTCATCCTTTTACATGTGTTAATAGTCAAATTCCAATAGTTAAAGTGGTCAGTCCAGTTACCCAGGAATTTTGAGTTGAACAATTACAGGAATATTATGTCTTTATGTTTTGTACAACAATATTGTAGTAAATTGTTACCACAGAACATTTGCATAATGTTTTAAACATAAAGCATGTTATCCTTCTCTAAAATAAAAACATTCTGGCAACATAAAAAATCTAAGTTGCAGCTGAAAACGTTTTAACAACAGTAGGGCATAATGTTCTAACAATGTTATCAACATTTTAAGAATGCTTTTAGAGACCGTTATCCTACCTTTCAGAAGAACATTCTGGGAACCAAAATAAAAGCTTCTGCTGAAAACGTTTTAAGAATAGTAGGGCATAATGTTCTGACAATGTTATCAAAAACATTTTAGGAAGGTTATCACCAAACATTTTAAGAATGTTTTTAGAGAACATTATCCTACCTTTCAGAAGAACATTCTGGGAACCAAACAAAAACTTCCCGCTGAAAACATTCCTAGAACAATGAATGTAACATTCTCAGAATGTTTTTAGAACAAAGAATTTCTAGCTGGGTACTGCGTGGCACTTTGGTTTTGATAAAACAGTGTAGTCACTAGTTCCCCTATATAAACGTTACATTCATAATCAAACGAGACAATCTGCAAGAGAATTAGCTATTTTTTGTTATTCTTAATGCTTGTCATCACGTTAATAAAAGAAAAGAAGTACCGATAGATAGCAGAACAATTGTGGCGATGTTCAGCTTAATAAGCCTTGTTCAACATAATTTATTTAGCTAATACTACAGCGGGCTGCAGGCGAACCAAGTCCGCGTTTCGCTGCATTCCTTGATCTCCAGTTATAACGCCGGACTCCACCGCCCGGAGCTAACGAAGCTGCAGGGGGCTCCGGGACGCCGGCTGGAGCTGGACGCCGGCTGGAGCTAGCCCCCTGCGGCTCCGTTAGCTCCGGCGGCCACCACTGGGATAATTGGGTCCCCTTTTAACATTTGCTCCCTTTTAGCATTATGGGCGTCATAGCCATATACTATACAAGTCTTACACAAGGCTGAATCATAAACTAAACTGTATATATATATATATATATATATAAAGGGTTACGTCCTTAGCTGGCTAATAAGCTACATAACAAGCTAAGCTAACAAGCACACAAACACCTGCTAACGGGGTTAACATGTATAATATTATCATTTTAGACTTCTTGGAAGTTCTGTTAGTTCATTCAAGCGCACAGCACGACATTTTAATTGTCTGGTATTTGTAACAATATTCCCTAAAAGGCACAATCACCACGAACACGGCTAAAGGGTCAAGTACAGTAACTACAACTAACTAACGTTGTAGCCTAGCAGAGTGGACAAGTTGCTGTTAGCTGACAGTGAGGCACGTACCTGTCCATCAAAGTGACGACGCCCTAATTTATGCAAAAACTTTAAGACCTAATATAAATAAAAGGGTCGCGTTAGAAAACAATTCACTCACAGATTCATAATCATGAAGGTGGAATCTAACTATATCCATAATAATATGTATTGCATCCAGGGGTAGAAACATGTTTTTTTCTGCTGTAAAATTGGGCATTTTAACATGGGGGTCTATGGAAATTGCTCCTTTCTGCAGTCATCGCCTATCGGCCAATATATAAACTGCAGTTTGTGGCACTTCCGTATTGGCGTCCCGGCCCTTCCCCAGAGTTTGCCGCTTGGCTAAAATGCATGATCTGTTTGGTATTTTGAAAAAGAAAACGTATAAATATACCTTATATAGGTATGGCCCTACAATATATTATTCAAATATAGCATGATAGGTCTTCTTTAATATAACGTTTTACTGCTTATATGATGAACATTGATGTCTATGAGCCTTATATTGAGCAGAGCATATTAAGACCAAAACTCATGTACAACAACTTCCTTACTTGCAATAAATAAGGACTACTTAGAGGGAAAAAGGAAGTGGGGAAGGAAATGTCAGAAACAAAATATTACAGGAGTGCTGGGAATATTCCAAGTTTCAGGGGCGTGGGTTTGGATGTACAAGTAAAGGAAAAATAAGGACATACGGCATGCATGAGTTAGAGTTTTCACCATCAAATCCATTCAGTAGTGTACCCCCATGGCTTGTTCCAATAGTAAATATAGATGTGAGTATTGTAGAAAAGAAAAGAGAGTGGCAAATAAATGAAGTAGGATTCAAAACAAGTTTGTATCTCAGGAGTAATTATCACAATTACCTCAAAATATACACAGATGGTTCTAAGAACAAGGAAGAGTGTGTCGGAATTGGTATATATATCCCAGAATTTAAAATATCGATATCAAAAAGAGCGTCAGACCAACTTTCAGTGTATACAGCAGAAATGCTGGCAGTAGTAATAGGATTACAGTGGGTGGAAGAGATCAGACCAGATAGGGTGGTGATATGCACATATTCATTATCCAGTCTACAAAGCATACAGTCAACAACAACTGCCAGAGAAGACATACTCACTCACTTACAATTAATATTTATAAAGAAAGAAACAGAAGGGAGGAAATCATGATAGCTAGGCTCAGACTAAATCACACTGCATTGAATGGTACGCTGTATGTCATGGGGAAAAGTGACAGTGACTGGGAACTGTGGAGTTAGGGAAAATGTGGAACATATTTTATTACATTGTGTCACATATAGAGTTGAAAGAGGAAAATTAAGGGATACAGTTTTAGAGGCAGAGAGGGAGTGGAATGTAGCTGGTATTCTGGGAACAGAAGGAGAAGGAGTAAGAGCTACCAGAAAGGCACTGTTCACATTTTTTAGGGAAACTGGGATAGGGAAAATAATCTAACAGTAGGTTAGAATAGATCATGGATGATTTGTTTTTTGTTTTTTGTTTTGTTTTATTTATTTCATGGTTTCTTAGTTTTATGTTTTTCGATATGCTGGTTTATTAGAGGGATGACATGATGATACACACTCGTGTACAGTAGGTGGCGGTATGCAACCAAAAGCTGTTTGCGATCCGCCATTAAAAAGAGAAGAAGAAGAAGAAGAAGAAGAAGAAGAAGAAGAAGAAGAAGAAGAAGAAGAAGAAGAAGAAGAAGAAGAAGAAGAAGAAGAAGAAGAAGAAGAAGAATAGATGAGAGTAACATCTACGTCACTTTACAGCTCCGCCCACTTTTGGGGAAACCAACGCTGTCATTTGAACAGCGATCAAGCCTGAAGCCACAGAGCTCTTCTTTTACTGTCCTTTCTTCTTAGAGGAAGTACAGAAACACGTAACTCTGGATTTGTTTTAATGTTTGAGGTGCAATAAACGACACAGCAGCTTTTTGGCATGATACAACTATTATTTTCCGCCTCGCTCATGAGAGTAACAGCTGGCGAAATGACAGCCTCGCCTACTGATTTTAATTTAACCATATATCGAGCCCGATTGTCGATTTCAAATGTGTGCTCTAAAATGATATTTATAAATGACTATTATCATTATTATAAGCAAGACAATAAATGGCAAAGATATGTAGAAAATAAACGTATTTAAGAGACGTTCATAACAAACGTAACGTGGGAGAAAATACGTTTCAAGCTATACGTAATTGAGAATGCAGTTTAGTTCTGTGGGAACGTCATTTTTAGGAGACAGGGTTGCTCTACCTCTGACATGTTTCTAAAGCAGCAGATTGTCAACACCTTGCTTTTCAAAGCAAGGGCTATTTGCCCTGGAGCATCTTTAGGTGTGCTTGTTTTAAACTCAGAGTGGCACAGGCCGGTGGAGCAGTAGGACCCAGCAGCAGTAGCAGCCAATATGGTCTAGCTGCGGCCGCGGTGAGCAGAGGGTGGAGCCTGAATAAAAAACAATCAAGCCTCCACACCCTGCAGTCTCTGGAAGTTCCTCCGCATTCCTGCCATACACAACACACAAAACTGGGAGGACCGCTCCCTGAGGCTGGGTAAGTGTGTGTAGAGAGTAAGAGTGTGTTGTTTCTGGCTTCTTTCAGGAAAACTCGATAGATGTTGTCTTCATGTTCCTCTTTGTATACAGTCAGGAGTTTGGAGGGGGAGTGAGCCTGCTGTAGGACCAGAGACCAGAACCTCATCATCAACGCTCCCTGCCAGGTGCTGTATTTCCTGACTCATCCCCTTTCACTCTCTCTGTCTCTCTGTCTCTCTGTCATTGTCGGTTGTGCGTTTTGTCTTCCTGTGTCTGTCAGTTTAGTTTCTGTGTGTATACCAGTGTATCTCAAGCCCAGATGTGTGCAGTCAAAACAGAGGAAGTTCCTTCATGTGCATGAAGGAAACCGTGGTTACAGACAGTATATCTGCACTGTGCAGATATACTGTCTGTAACCACTGTTTCCTTCCGAGAAACTGAAACATTTATCATTGATTCATATCTGAACACTTGTAGCAAGTAACTGAACTTACAGCCAGTGCAAATAACAAAGTTCAGTGTGCAAATAACTGATGCCTGAAATGAGTGCATGGTAAGTCTCACATGCAAATGTAACCACTTAAAAAAGTAAATGATGGATTGTAAAAGTATATTGCAGCATCTTAGAAAGCAGGTTACAAAGGCCTGCAGTCACACTAACATCATCCAATAGGTAGATCACTTCTGACTAAAAATACTGGTCTTTATACTCTTTGACTTTTGTTATGCTCATAAAAGGATTATAGCCAATTTATGACAGGAAAACTAACATCTGCATGCTAACGTGCGCACAATGGCAATGCTAACATGTTAAGAAAGTTTAAGGCAAAGTATTGGCTCAATCTTATGTTAGCATTCTATCATGAGGCTTATGGAAATGTCATTAGTTGTGCAGGTACTGTATTAGGTCAAATATGTATTATGTCCCATCACTTAGCCTATGATGTACAATGTGTTGGAGCGCTAGCCAATAGAAGCAAAAGTGTTGCGTAGTGATGTCATTATGTTACGGAAGTAAACAAAGGAGTCCAATCAAGGCGTTTCCGGCAGGGGGGGGAGGGGAGTGTGTGAGAGACAAACTTTGGGATTTCAGCCTTTGCAGACCATTTAAATGTGCAAAAACCTATATAACAAACTAACCCCCCAAATAGGGCCCCTTTAAGTGAATGTCTGAACCAAATGTCAAGGCAATATATGCAGTAGTTGTCAAAACATCTCTCTACTACTACATCTTGTAAATGTTGAGATTTTTTACAAGAGAGGTGACCCTATAAATGAAGTCTGCTCCAAATAACTAGTGTTGGTTAAATGCAGAGACTTTATTAGCTCTTTGTGGTTCTCTGTACATGTGACGATAAAAAAGGATGATTCATCCTCTAGGCACGGTGAATGCCTCAGCCAAATATAATAGCAATCCATTAGTTGCTGAAATATTTCACTGAAATAATTGTTTTCCTCTGGGGACCGTGCATGCACAAAACAGTTGCTGAGTTATTTCGATGTCAACCAGCGTGATGGCATTTTTATCCCCAGAGCCATGGCGATAGCATGACCAAAAATGGACCACAAGCACATCAGATTACATTCTTGTTTCAATAAACATGAGTACTTATTTGAATATGCTTTACTTCCCTAGCTCCCAGGTGTAGACAATATGATGTCAAGATGATGAAAAATGTTGGAGATAACTTGCGTAAAGGATCCACAAAGTAAAAGCATTTTATTATCCTCTCTCTCTCTCTCTCTCTCTCTCTCTCTCTCTCTCTCTCAGACTCAGCATGAGTAGGGCAGATGGTGATGAAGGCGGAGGTGGCAGCAGTGAAACAGCCCAGCAGACGGAGGAGAAAACTCCCGAGGGGAAGCTCCTGGGCAAACTGAGTGCTACTACTAGTAGCCCCGGCTGGACTAAAGTCAGTTGTCCCTGCTGTGAATCGCAGCGGGTGGAGCCTCTGGTTCTGGTGAAGCTCGGAGAGAAAGTTCGCCCTGAGACGAAGAGGTGGCTCATGAGAGTGATCGGAGCTCCTCAGGAAGATGGAGGTGAGGGATCAAATAACATGGATGAGATGACTTACTCCTTTGTCTGTATTGATTGAAACCTTGCAGAGTCTTTTTTTCTCTTCTACTGGAAGCCTATTGACATTTGATGGAATTTATATTTGCATGGCGTTAAAAAATGAATATTACTATAGTTAAGGTAAGATAAGACTTTATTGATCCCCCATAGGCAAATTCATGTCTCTTTGCAACAACAGCAACCATGGTGAAACACAGGAGGAGACAGATATGAATTCCCACAAGGACAATAATAGAAAACAAAGAATAAAAACTGTGAAAAAGTTCAATTAAATTAGGTGTTTACATAAATACAGATATGTATAATTATGGGTGTCTTAAATATATAAACATGTCAAGTTAAACAATTATAATAGTTAAACAATTTGTATGGAAATGTAAGCCAGCGGTGATAGGGCAGAAAACATGATAAAAAGAAGAGCAGCTATATCCAACCATATTGTTTGCAGGTTAGCACCTCCTTTTAATATCTTTACTACAGTACTTTATTAAAACATGTTTTCATCGTTGTCATCGTGGGGTCAAAGGAGGATCTCTGAAGGAGTAGTTGATATTTTGATCTCTCCCTAATTCTCCCAAGCCAACATAACTTTGTATTGATCCCAAAGTATTCACAAAAACCAAATATGTACCTGAAAAGATTCAGGTACAGCAGTATTTGACTAAAAGTAAACCTCATGTAATGGTAAGCAGCACACAGTTAACAACACATACAGTACATTCCTCCAATATTATTAGTTCTTAAAATTGTTCTGTGACAATTATATATATTACACACTGTCCCCCCCCCCCCCTCAGGTGCTGCATTGCTGGCCCACCCGGGCGAGGACGCCACTGGTGACATCATCGTGCTCTCAGCCCCACGCTGCACGTTACTGAGAGCCACTGAAGAGCTGGGCCTCTGTAAGACGTACCACTCCGGGGACATGGAAGCCTTCTCCTACAACGACAGAGACAACTTCAAAGATTCAGGTACGGCAGTGGAGCCATGAATGTGTTCATGAAAGATAACATGAGAGAGGGTGTAAGTTCTGTAATAGCCAGGGAGGCTGTGGCTCAGTGGATAGTGTGCTGGACTTCGAATCAGGGGATAGCAATTTCAAGTCCGACTGCAGTCAGCATGTCGTTGTGTCCCTGGGCAAGTGACTTCACCCCAAATTGCTCCTGTGGGGATTGTCCGCAGTACTGAATGTATGTAAGTTGCTTTGGATAAAAGAGTCTAACAAATGACATGTAATGTAATGCGATATTTGTAAGGATAACATATAATGTTTTTATCTGGATGTTATTGAGAAGTACCATTCACATACACGAACACTCTCACACACAACAGAAACCAAATACTCTCATATACACATATATATGTGTATATGAGAGTATTTGGTTTCACATTTCACACTTGTATATATATAATATATATACAAGTGTGAAATGTGAAACCCTCCCTTTCACACACACATGTGAAATCCTATCATATAAAAGAGTGATTTTCAGTATGTTTCAATAGAAGATGTTTGATCCCACACAAATTACAAGGGCAACAGGTAGTTGACTTTTTTACACTCTCGATGTTGCCTTTACCAGTTTCTCTTATTTCTGTTTGAAAAAATCCAAGAATTCTACCAGCTTATAAAATGTTTATCATTTAATTTTTCTTATGAGATTATAGTAGTATCCTGTTTGTTTCTTATTTTTTTTTGTGGCGTTGAATTGGCCAAATAAAAGCATTACTAAATTAAACTCCCATCGGCCTCAAATGAGTCACTGTTAGCATGCTACCATGCTAAACGTTCATTAAAGAGAAATGGTAGCATGTTCCTGAACATACTAGACATCTGTTAGTATTGCCTTTGTCAGCATGTTAGCATGCTAATCGCTAGCATGTATTTCAAGTAGCCCAGGCCTACAGCCTCACAGAGTAACTGGTATGTGACAGATATCCTTTGAAAAAATCATATAACTGTTGGGGAAATATTTTCCAAGGCCCATATCTTTGACCCAGTTTATCAGTGCATACTGTCCTGACTGAGCACACGCACCTGTAGCCTTGGCTGCTGTGCTCTCAGTGTTTTGTCTCCCTGTTCCTGCCTGTTGGCGTCAGCTGATTAGAGGTGTTATGATTCTATCTTGTTATGCACAATGTATTCTCTCAGAACTAGCTAAATACATGGGTCTGGGGGAGAGTTCTTCAGAATTGATTGTGGCATCTCAACTGTGTGGTCAACTCGTGGCCCGTGACATGTCTTGTGAATTCTCCGGCCGAAGCTCCAAATAAACCATCAGTGTTTGCCATCAAAGCTCCATATGTCAGTTAATACATGAGGAATGGTCTCTTTAAACTAAATACTAAAATGTTTTACAATTGTAAATGTCAAGTAAAACCCCATGACCTTTGACATGGACAGAGCCAGGGTAATCCTCACTTGCAATCCATTTGGCCTTAACCATCAGAAGCTTTGTATGGTCATACAGTATTCAGGGTCTGACTCAATAGTGCTCATACTCTATGTCAGCATGCTAATATGCCAAATGTAGATGATGAAGTCAGATGTAACATGTAGGCCTATGATACATACATAACATATGCATTAGGCATTGTGAGGATGTTAGCATGTTGTTGTTGTTAGCATTTGTATTCTTGTGTGAGCCTGCATTCATGCATCACTGGCTTATGTATCTGTGTGTATCCATGTGTGTGACAGACAATATGGAGGCGTTCCTGACCCTGGCGGAGCGGCAGTACATAGTGAAGTATGAGCTGGACGGTCTGCGGGCGCAGAGAGACCTGAGAATCCCCGGCCTGCCTGACAGCTGCACCCTGCAACACCGAAACAACATCTGTGAGTGTTCCCTGTGGGCTCACTGTGGGCTCACTTCAGTACGGGGAGACTAGTGCACACAAGTGCACACACTGGAGGAATATCCATTGAGACTTAGACTTTATTTGGAGGATTTCTGTGTTCAACTTGTTACTTAATTTGATCATTTCAATGAATGGCTCTGGACAAAGACGCACACAAACAACGATTGAACAGCTGAAGACATTTTTTGCAGTGCACTCATCTCATCACATTGTATACACCCATCCAGTTTATGGGGATGAGAGCAAGCACCATAAAATCATCAATTAGGATTTATATTTGGACATATTGACAGCCATGTTGTAAATATAAGTTAACTGCTGTCTCCATATTCAGCCAGTATCCAGATGCACTCTGCTGACCTCAGCTGTTCTTCTTCCCTCACATTCGATCAAGAAATTGCTTTAGTCAGCATCAGCCTCAGTGTTTGTGTATAAGCAGTGCTTGAATTGGGCCGGTACTCACCGGGACGCAGTACCGGGACTTCTGATTTTTACCCATCTGGTACCGTTACTTCTTACTGAGTACCGGTACGGTGCCGGTACGGTGCCGGTACGGCGGTACGCCCCAAACACCGCCACCCCTCGGCGGCCCGCAAGTGCCAGAGGACCTCGGCAAAACAGAGCCTGCCCAGGTATATTTAAACAAGTTCCAAAGTCGCCTGTACAGTGGGGTAAGGCGCTCATTTTGCAGCTCAATTTCCTGTAAAAAAGATGCCATCTTCTGCTATGCCTGTAGACATTTCGGCTCAAATACATCTAACTCAGATGCCTTCACCACAATTGTACCAGAGTACCAAACGCTGTCTCCTGGTACTCATCTGAGTAACTCACTACAAATGAAATACTATATGACAGTAAAACAAGAATACAGTTTAAAAGGGGAGTGATTTGTAAAATATCCATAAAGAAAAAGTAAATCTGTTTATAGTTCTGTTTCATATGGGTGTTGAGAGATGTATCCATAGATCTCTTCATGTTGCTCTCAAAGTGCACCAGATTGATGCTTTTAACTTCAATATTTTAAAATAAATCTTCCCGGGGGAGCATGCCCCCGGACCCCCCTAGAGGATGTTAGGTCCACTCCCCACTTATAGAAAATAGCACTTTACCCCTGCACCCCCTCTAATCTCAGATGCACCCTGAGTCATTTTGTTCTGGAACCGGGCCTGGACCAGGTGGAATATTTTTGCAAGACCAATGAATGGCTCGTTGTTAAAGACAAAAAGCTGGGATGTCGGGTATGTAAAGAGGTCAAATCTTTGGGAAAACACACTGGACAAGGACTGAAACTCTCGATTGAATGGGGTGAGTGTGCAGTGTCTCATTACGGTAGTGACAAGTGCAAACAACAAGCTAGCCTGAAAAAAAAAATCATAGAACACAAGCCCATGTAAAAGCTGCTGACATACTTCCATCTGCTTCACGTGAAGCAATTCAAAAGCAAGCTGCTGACAGATGCGTGAGTGTACTCAGGGACGAGGAATCAATAGCTGCCCACTGCTCCTCGTAGACTCCTGGTACTAGGATGGGTTAAATGCAGAGAACACATGTCACTGTGTGCTGTGTGCTCTGCATGTGTGACCATTAAAGAGGGTTTCATCCCTCCCAATTCTATTCTATTTACCCAGTTGCCAGTAGGAGTCAGGCTTTACCCATATCCGCTGCCTTTCATACTTTTTTTAAGTACAGTCAAGTGAGCCTTTCTAAAATATACAGTAAAGAGACAAACCCACCAGCATTATAGGATATACTATGACTTTGAGCCAAATTCTTGTTTTTGGGCTGTATAAATAAAATTGACTTGAAACAGTTGCTGATTTAGAGTACTGGCACCTTTTTTATTCCAATTCAAGCACTGTGTATAAGTGTGTGTAGCTGTATACGTGTGGATTAGTAGTTGCTTCTGTCACATTTCAGGTCTTTATGGGTTAATGTTGTTACAGGGCAGAAGCTCGGGTCAGCTGGTGTTATTGTGGACACGTTTCCCCTCCACAACCCTCCACAGCTGAAGGAACTCAGTGAAGCCTGGTACTCTGGGAATCAGCTGGCTCAGCCTCTGGGTGGGTACACACACACACACACACACACACACACACACACACACACACACACACACACACACACACACACACACACACACACACACACACACACACACACACACCCACACACACACACACACACACACACTCTACCACATGACTGATTGTACACACAGAAGCTATTGCTTATAAAATAAATGTATTATGTAAGAATTGACAATAGATACCTGTCTGTGACATTCTCTTGAGTCAATTGAACCATGCATGCATTAAACACCTTTCTGCTGCTTTATCCAGATTCAGTCAACAGCTACTTTGGAAGCCCCGTGGCGTTCTACTTCAGCTTCCTAGACTTCTACACCTGGTCTCTGCTCCCACCAGCGATACTTGGCCTTTCGATCACATATTTCTCAGGTAGGTGTGCGGAACTATCATTTATTTATAGCTCTTTTTAGACCCCATTTAATTATATACAGCCCTAGAAATGGAAACAAATGTATTTCTTGGATTTTTAACCCATATAGAGCTCCTGTTCTCATCTTTATATGTATTTAGAAGCTGCATGTTGGCTGTTTTTTTTATGTTAACAGCAAATATTTCAAGGTAATGCAGCTGTTGAGACTAAATATACTTTGGTGCTATATACTAAAGATAATATTAATATTTGTGCACACTGCTAGGTAAAGTTTGGCCTGAGGGTGGTCACAGAGTAAAAAGTATTTTGTGAATTGTCAGCATGTTCAAGCATGTTAACATGCCGATAGAAAGGTCACTGGGCGAAGTCAGGCAGCAAGGGATAGGACCCAAATGCAGAGAGACCAGACAGACAGACAGGAATAAAACCAAAAAAAGGAAAGTACATGAATTTAGAAAAGTCCACACAAGAATAACAGAGACCATGCTTATCAGAGAGGGGGCAGGGAAAATATGCTGGCAGAAAATTCAGTTTAGATTCAGGATTCAGGTTCAGATGGCTCGAAGACATTTCGAAAATCAATACAGTGCTTTGATCGTCGGACTTATAGGTGTTATATTGTCTCATTTGGAACTAAATCATCTGCAGATTAATTCTATACTTGATATGGTATTGTCCACGATAGTCAATTGCCCTGGAGACTGAGCTTTTCTTGCCCTGTCACAGGTGAGGCTCAGAAGGAGATGGATGAGTCGGTGTCGGGCTCCCCGGTCCAAAGTGTTGAAGCTGACTCAGGACCAGTTGTCGGTGGTCACATGATCCAGGCGGTGTTCAGCATGCTTTGGTCCACGGTGGTCATGGAGCTGTGGAAGCGCCGAAGCTCCACCCTGTCGTACCGCTGGGGGACGCTGCACCTCGCCGAGCGCTTCGCAGAGCCCCGACCCGGTTTCCACGGTGACCTCGGGGTCAACCCTGTCACGGGTCGTATGGAGCCGCTCTTTCCTGAATGGCAGAGGGACGTGCGTATGGCCCTGGTGTCAGTCCCCGTGGTGGGGCTCTTTCTAGGTACAACCTGAATTGAAATGCTAAAATATACCATGATGTTCAATCGTTGATTTAAAAAAATAAGTATAAGTGACTTTTTCTATGCTAATGTTTGCTTGGTTGCTTAAAGATTCTGAGCCTTACCTCTGTCCTCATACATGTACCTTATGCCCTGTCTCCTCTCCCTCTGCAGGGCTGGTGGTAGTGGGTATGCTTGGTTTCTACTGGGGGGAGGCCCAGGTGCAACAGCTCCACACAGACTGGGACTCCCTGCTGTCTCAGACTCTTCTCTACATGCCCTCAGTGCTTCACATCGTCTATTCAAATGTGCTAGCAACTGTTTACCGGAGGGTGGCAAAGTCTCTGACTGAATATGGTGAGTAAGACCGAGTGAATTTATGAAAACAGTATGACCAGTATAAGTTATCTTGGTCAAATATATAGTAAGGTTGGAGTAAAAAGAAAAGAGAATGGAAAACAGCTGACAAGGTTATTTCTACCAATAGTATTGTTTCTGATGCCTGAGATTAGCCAATGATTTCCCTTATATTTCCTCTTAGAGAACCACAGAGAGGAGTCTGCCTACGAGAAGCATCTCACAGCCAAAGTGTTGGTGGTAAGTTCTTTCTCTTCTCTCCAACCATCAGCTCTTATATCCTCTCTACCAGCAGGCCTTTTGATCAGGCTCTTGTCTCTCTTCCCCCAGTTCACATTCTTCAACTGCTTTGCAGTGCTCTTCCACATTGCCTTCTTCAAGCAGGATGTGCCTTTGCTTCGTAAGGTAATCATCAATCTTCCACTTGTCTCAGTAAAGTGTTTTAGCATGAACTTCAACAAAACTTGGGGGTAAAAATCAAGTGTCAATGCAGCAGAGGCCGAGATAACTGGATCTTTATACCTAATGAGGGATATAAAAAAGGTTGTATACTACAATTCCCATAATGCAACTTAAAAGTGCTTTCATTAGACTTTCCCTGTCAATGTCTTTTGAATAAAAAAAAAGTCAAGTCATCTTAACCTAACATTGTGTTGGGGGGGTACATTTTCCTTTTGCCCTAACCAATCAGTATCAGTTGATATCTATGTCCCGCCCTCATCGCTGATGGGAAAACTAGCATAATGATTGTGTGGATGAAATTAATGGGTTTAATTTACGTACATATAATAGATATAATGATTTATGTTTAATTATCTCTTACTTGTCGCAATTTTTCATGAATTTAGTTCGGTCGCGAGGATGACTTTTCTCGGTTTTAACCACGCCCACAAAGCGTTGATTGGTCCATTTTAAACAGTCGTCAGTGAGCACAGTAGAATAGAACAGTACTCTTTATAAACTGATCTAAATCAGTGGAGTGCCTCACTTTTAAAATGTGTGCAAAGTTTAAGTGTGACCGAGAACAGTCAATTAAATAAAGTTTCCTCACTGATATTAAATTCCCATATTCTCTTTTAGCGTTTAGCGTCTTTGCTGATAATCACCCAGCTGGTGAACCAGGTGACGGAGGTGGTCATTCCCTTCCTGGTGGATCGCTTCATCAGTGCCCCCCATAGGACAGAGAGTGAAGACGACCCCCCGGAGGACAAATTCAGGAACCAAAGCACCCTGCCTGCTTTCCCTGTGAGTGTGCAGTATACTCGAAATAACAAAGTACGCATTGGGAAACACTTGCAGTGAATAATATACCTATTTCTTTTGTCACAGGGCTTGTTTGCAGAGTACATCGAGCTCCTGGTGCAGTTTGGGTACTTGAGTCTTTTCTCCTGTGTGTATCCTCTGACGGCCGTACTGTTGCTCATTAATAACCTAACAGAGATCAGATCGGACGCCTATAAGATCTGTAAACTCTTCCGGAAACCCTTCACCCCTCCTGTGGCCAGCATGGGAGTATGGCGGGTCAGCAGAAACACAACACACAACAGAAATGAGACGCAGCCAGTATGTCACACTGTTATGAATAAACAGTGCACCTCATTGTGGTCTTGTGTTTCAGATTGCCTTCGAGGTCCTGAGTTTTGCCTCTGTTGTGACCAACTGCTGGCTGTTGATGCTGTCACCTTGGTTACAAGAGCTTTGTCAGGAGGGGGGGTTGACCGGCACAAACATCCTTATGTTGGCTGTTTTAGTCGAGGTACTGTAAGAGGGCGGATGGAGAAAGCATTAGTGATTCACATTAGGAGTAATATGTAGCATTTTCTATGATGCTTATGTCAATAAAGCTTTGTCAACATACAGGGTGGAGCAAAGTCCAATCGAACACTGAACAACACATTGTTAGGCAACCAAAATGTTACAACTACCGTCCATGAACTGAACAAATATTGTGAACATTTTTTTTTTTTTTTACCAAATCACAGACAGGACAACGCAGTGGTAGCGACCCGTCCATCAAACATAGCCATTCACTAAATCATACCCTGCTTTATTGTATATGTCCCTCTTAATGCGATAATGACTTACCAAATGAACATCATACAGTGTTAGTCGCCCCCTTCTGGCCATTAGAAATAATGCAGGGTTGCCCCTTGAATTTAGGTCTCTACATGTGCTGATTGGTTCCTTTAAGTTAACTGAAACCATTTTTCCAGAATATCAGTGAGTGACCAGAACATATGGATTATTATAACACTTGCCTAATTAATTCAATTTTTAAAATGCTTTCAATTTTGTTATTATAAAGCATTAGTCATTTCTATGACAGCTTATAACTATAATTATCAAGTGCCGTAATCGGTTAAATATACCTTTTATAGACATGAGGGTCTTGATAGTCTTAATTAGACCCTGACATTTGTGTTTGTTTGCAGCACTTGCTGATCTTGGTTAAGGTGGTTTTGGCGGTTCTGATCCCCGATGAGCCGGACTGGATCCGGAAAAAGATTGAGCATATTGAGTTCACATCCATGCAGGCCTTGAGAGAGCAGGTAAACCCTCCACCATATATTTCATTATTCATCATTTTGGTGGTCTTTAACATATTGTAGACAACTTGTCTCTCTTGTCTTTCAGAAGCTGCATTCAGAGAAGTCTTGATTATGTTTCAAAGCTTATGGTGTTGCTTCACGTGTGCTTGGCTGCTACAACCAGAAGACAGAACCAGCCTCAGTGTTGTGTGGAGCCACAGAGGTTTGAGATCTCTGCTAGGGCCCAGTGCATATCGCTGTGCTTATAATGCTGCCTGTGTGCACATAAGTGTTCCTGCTGCTCTCACTAATTCACATGGTGCTTCTGCAATATAGACCACTTGAAATGCGCTCTTGTAATATGTATACTGCAAGTGCGATGAAAACAGCTGCTAAAAGTTTTTTTTCCATATAAGGCTGCAAATGGAATGTATTGGTTATGTGTGCGGACACACTTTTAAAAGACTATTGTTATGACGAGGGAGGTGTTGAAAGGGTTTGTTCAGATTGAATGAGAAAGAGAGAAAGCTCTTGTAAAATCACTATGGCTACATTATGTGCAGTCAGTATTTTCAGCGTTGCAAGGCCAAAGACAGAACATTACGTACATTTGTTTTGTCTGGAGTCTCTTGAAGAGTGTTTTTCTCAGATCACCTATTGATAATTTTGATATAAATTAGCTACGTTAGTGTTCAGGATTCCTCATTAGAGGACAGTATCATCACTGCAGGGATTATGAGATAAAAGATAATCATCCCAAGGGAAATAGCTGTCTCCAGTTGTAAAAGTATAAGTGGGAAGAGTGCAAATATTAAATTGTGTAAGTCTATAAGACAAAAAGCAACAAATGCTTTAATGTAATGAGACCTCAGAGAATAATCACACAGCAGTGCAGTTACGCTAAGCTACACAGAACGTTTTTAGCATCTTTTAGCTATTGTTTAGATTTGTTGACCTCTAAACTAAAGAAACCAAGGAAGCCATAATGAAACCATTAGCAGCTAAAGGACCAGATATTTTCCAGATGGAGACAAAAAACAGAGCGAAATAGAGTGACTATAAGTTATCAGGGAGACAGAATACACAGTTAGCCATGTCAACTTTATTAAGAGATACTATGCTAGTGCTGCGTTTACAGTTAGTTGTGTTAGTTGTGTTGAGCTATACAAAGATGTTTATGGCTCCATCAAATGGAGACAAAACAGATGACAATCTTTAAACTAAACTTGCAGTGTGTATTTTCAGTAAAGTATATGTTACACATGAGTTACAGTAAGTGCTCAGTCAGCGTTGACAGGGACAAAAGTCAAATAAAAAGACAGTGAAGTATTTTTCACATTTATTTATAATGTGTTCTATAATAATGGGTTACTGTTACTGTTACAGAGTTGTAAGAAATCATGAGAAACACGTTGAGATTTGCTTCTGGTTGTGTTGGTATAGCATTGTGCACTTCTATTGATGTCATTGCCCTCTCCTCAAATAATGACACTGTGGTTATTGTACCTTGGCACATCTGTAACACAAAATTAAACATTAAATTATGTTCCAAGATTTGATTTGCATTTATTTAATTTATTAGTTTATTTAACAAGATTAAAGTTAGCCAAGAGGCTATTTTCATCTGTAGTCCCTGAACAAATGTTGTATAGCAACCCTAAAATCGATTTATAAAATAAAAACAATTACAAATTAATTGAAACATGCAACACAAAGGCTCAAGTCAGGGGATGCCAATAAAAACAAAAACATACATATTACTTAGCAAAAGATAGCTACAGGTTGGAGCAGACAGAGGACAGTAATTGAACAATTCATTGTTTGAGTATTGACAGATCTGAGTTTGAATTATCCTTGTCTTTAAATGGGTTCTATATGTGGCTTGTTCTGCAATGGTTTGTTCGGATGGAATTCCATTCTTCTGAAGCTCAGCCGGTTTACATATTAAAGGATATATAAAATGTTAAATCAATTTTGAGTCCTGATAGAATTAGTTATTCGTGTAGTAATCAGCTGAATAAAGTCAAAGTTAGGTTATCTCCTAAAGGTTCTTTCTAGCTAAGATGTCCTCCCAAATAATGTTAAAATCTCTCAGAACCTTTTTGCTATAATTGTATTCTCTTAAAGGTCCCATGTCATGGCCATTTCTACTGATCATAATTCCATTGTTGAGGTCTACTAAAATAGATTTATACTGTGCAATGTTCCAACTCACGTTGGTTTCTCATACAGCATCTCTGTAAAGTATGTGTATTCACCAGGTATTCACTTTGTCCTAAACGGCTTGTTGGAGCTCCTGCCCCCCTCCCTGTGAGCCCAGTGTGCTCTGATTGGTCGGGACGTTGAGAGGCTCGTTGCTGCTCGCTGCTGCAAGGAGCAGACAGGCTTCCGCGCCGGCGATACAGCGGGAACAAGCGAAACTCATCCTGAGCACACACAAACACTCACAGCCGAAGTAGAAACAATAAGTGTGGCTTGATATTGAGTAAGAAAAAGGTTTATAACGCTGTGAGAATGGTCTGCGGAGAGCATTTCTCCGCGATCCCAACTTAGTAGCCCGAAAAACGTTTACCCATTTTAAACAGTCGTGGTAGATACCTTGTTTGTTTTAAACATCATAAATACACAAACAACAATGAATACTTACAGGTTGTGTACCCGAATCTCCCGCTGGTCCAAACAAAGTAGGAACAGCATCGTTCTTCAGTGCCCTACGCTGTACATATCCGGCATGAATCGCTGAAAGGTTGTGAAGCTTTTGTTTCGTGAAATGCTGGCAGAGGGTGTGGGCCTCTGGGTATCCCCACGTCACAGTACCCAGGAAGTAAACAATGGAAATGAGAAATCTCCAACGAGAGGCGTTCTGGGGCAGGATAGGACTGTTGTTAGAGTTTTACTCGCTACAGGGTGTACTTTGAGGGTTTTTGACTCTGCAGAACGTTTTACATGCATAAAAACCTTCAAAACAAACAAGGGGACGGGTAATAACCGGAAAAGCATGACATGGGACTTTAAAGTGGGGGGGCAAATGGAACATTGGCACCCCTGATTATGGAGAAATGGTGTGTGTGTGTGTGTGTGTGCTGTGTGTGTGTGTGTTGGTGTGTGTGTGTGTGTGTGTGTGTGTGCTGTGTGTGTGTGTGTGTGTGTGTGTGTGTGTGTGTGTGTGTGTGTGTGTGTGTGGTGTGTGTTGTGTGTGTGTGTGGTGTGTGTGTGTGTGTGTGTGTGTGTGGTGTGTGTGTGTGTGGTGTTGGTTTGGTGTCCTATGCTTACTTTTAATACTTGTAAATAAAAATGTTGGCCCGTAATTTGTAGCGACCAGAGAGGGGGGGGGGGGAATATATCCAGTCTCTGATAGTGTTACGTTATTATGAGAGTGCTCTCTTGTTTGAATCTGAAATTGTATATATTTATATAAATAAAAATATATATGTATGTGTGTGTAGCCTGTCCGCATCTGTAGCCTGTTATTGTCTCATTATATGAATGAATTAAAGGTAAATATAGGCTATAATTCATCATGAACACATCTGTCCATCAGACAGAGGGCTGCTGTGCCTCCTGTCATCATTAACGGAATCTCTTTTAAAATGCCTAACCGCCTGCTGCTTCCCCTCCTCTATCCTCGGTTCCCCTCCTCGACTCCTCCGCTCGCATCTCCTGTGGGTGGGACTAAGACACGAGGATAGGAGTCGAGGAGGGGAAATAGAGAAATGAGAAAGGGCCTATTGAAAGCCTAGTGAATACAAACGAAAAGACATTTCAATAAGATGTTTTATATTTTAGTGTTTTATGTCAGACAAGAGACAATGTAACTTTAGTAAAGAAGAAAGCAAGATATAGTATCAAAAAGGTTCTCAGCATCCACTGTTCAGAGGAGACTGCGTGAATAAGGCCTTCGTGGTCCAATTGCTGCCAAAGATCCACTACTGAGGATGAACAACCAGAAGAGAATTGTTTGGGCCAAGAAACACAAGAATTGGCTACTACAGCATTCTGCAGTATAGCCAGCAAAATATAATCATATTCTGGATTTTTTAACACTTTTAGTTTACTAGATAATTCCATATGTGTTCTTTTATAGCTTTGATGTCTTCAGTATAAATCTACAATGTAGAAAACAATTAAATAAATAAAAACTTCGAATGAGAAGGTGTGTCCAAACTTTTGACTGGGTAGTGTATCCTACAGGAAAGTCGTCCTTTCTTCAATGTGTACTGTTACTGTACATTGTTAATTTAAGGAGATAATATTATTTTCAGCCCACCAGGAGGCACTATACACTTAAACACATTTCAAAGTATTCCACGTTCCGAGTTTCACAAGTGTGTGTGCGTGTGTGCGTGCGTGCGTGCGTGCGTGTGTGTGTGTGTGTGTGTGTGTGTGTGTGTGTGTGTGTGTGTGTCTCTGATAAACTGGAACCAGGATCAGGGTTTCTGTTAGAGACAGACTTGACAGTGTTTGTTAATAAATTAACCGTTGTCTGCTGTCTAGTGTTGATAAAAAGATAGTCGGTGAAAGTAATCCACCTTTCCAACCGTCTCTCAGCACCACTCTACTTACAGATTACTCAGCTGCAGTTACTTGTTATTTTTCTAGAGCAAAGGGATTAGAGCATTATTCACTTAGTTTATCAACAGAAATGGAACATTCATCTAGTAATCAGTAAAATTTAATCTAGGTTTATTTTGACAATTAACTATTTAAATTAAGTAAACATTCCAAGTATTCCCTTTTTTATTGGTGTGATAATAAACCTAATATTTGTGGGCTTTGGACTACTGCACGTTAAAGCATTATCTTTGAATTTAAGAAAAAGTGTTAAGCATTAAACATTTCAAACAGATTAATGAATAATGAAATTAATCATTAGTTGCAGCCCTCATTTCATTTCATTTCAAACCTTTATTTAACCAGATTGGTCCCATTGAGACCCTATACTTATACTTCAATTGTTAAGAAATAAAAACTAAATGTGTAACGGGCACTAAAACTGTTTTGGATCCAAACGGTACATAGATTAGGATTAGTTCCACCTCATCATAAAAAATGTTACATTATTGAATTTCTAAAGATAATCCAAAAACATAACATACATTCTGCTGTGTAATAAATAAGGATAAAATACATTTAGCTGATCAAATGCTATGCTTTTACAAATGTAAGACTTTGAATGCATTTTCTTTTTGCACATTTACTAAATAATCAGAATGCTTCTTCCACCAGTGGCAGAATCATACAGTCGTTTTTTCTGTGTTTGTAATTCAGTAATTGCTTTAGTTAGTTCTCACATGGGCATGTGGCTTATCCTCATGCATCAGAACAGAATGCCTGAGGTGCTGTGAGCAGAGGAACAGAGCCAACTAGGCAACAAACTAAACTGTGGCGCCATATTGATCCCTTTGTTTATCTCCCTCTGTGGTTTGTATAAGTATCCTATTACCTATCGTTTCAGTTGATATTGGGCTTTGTGGGGGTTTATAGGGGCAGCTGGGGCTTAATCCAGCCTTCGTTGTAAAGACATTATTACATTTTAGTGTGCGTGGTGGTGTGGGGGAGAAACAATATCACTGTCCCACACTATGAAATCAGCACACTGCACCAATCCATCCTGTTTGATTTAATCCTTTTTAATAAATAAATACAGAAAAATAAGTTCATGGCTCCATGGAGGTCCGTGGTCTAGCTTCAATGCAGGTCAGTAGACACACTGAGGAGAGACAGGCTGCAATCACACAGGAACAAATAACAGGATTTCATCCCTCTCCTGCACATATTGACCCTCTACAGCTGATGAAATACGAGTGATAATCAGGCTTCACACGGCATCAGTTCCTTATAAAGAGCGGGAGCGTTTGATCAAAGGTCCCAGGATCAAATCCAATTTGTTGTCCCTGTGAAGCGGAAAAAACAGTGACTGACAGGAAAAACCACTCTGTTATTGTACAGCTTTGGCCTTCTTTAACTTTACAAATTCTCGTCTCAGCTTCGAAAGAGGAAAATACAGGTGTAATGAGAAAATATAGGAACACACACAAGATTTTATATGTCAAACAATACCATACAGAGGCTACACTATAACATATCACATCATTGGGTGTAAATGAACTCCATCCATCAGTCCAAAGATCTTCGAGAAAGCTACCAGCGACAGCAGTGTGTGCAATTCATCATTCAGTGGGTTTACTTACAGTTACACGAGAGCATGTCCTGCCAGAAACAAGACACATGGAGGTATAGTGTGATAAATAACAGAAAGAACATGCACAAAGTCACATTTCTCTTCAGATAGTAAATACCTTTGTCACGGTGTAAAAAAAAAAAAGCCTCAAATCTCATATCTGCACATCCAAAATAAAATAAAACTGTTAGGATTGTTTAAATGTTCAGCATGAATAAAAATAAATGGAAGACCTGCATCCCAATCAATGATCCTATCAATAGTATAATACAGTATGTTAGGACAAGTTATTATATTGGATAACTTCAGGTTTTACTGTAGCATCATATCATCATCTCAGTCTTAGGCATATATTACATGTCATATATCACATCATATCATAACAGTCTTTCTTTATAAAGAGCTTATATAAGAGCTTTTAAACCACTGAGAGCAGCGGGGTTGTTGCAAAGGGAGAGGAAAGGAGAGCTACTCTGTAGCAGAAGCTGGTTCAAACTTGATTCTATTCATATATATGAAAATATGAAATCATGGAGTGTGAGACCATTCTGAGTTTAAGAGCTTTTGTGCAGTCAACATGTACAGTATGAAAACCCATTCCATCCATGTAGGCACCTTTTTAAACAAACAAACCAGACTATAGCTTATTCAATAAAAATGGTTGCAGTTGCTATGGCTACGTTCAGAATGCAGGCCAAAAGCTTTTTAGCACATATTTGGACTCAGATCTTTTTTTTTTTCATAACGGTGTAAACAGCACAAATCACATGAAACCAGATCTGTTAAAGGGGCCCTATTATGCTCATTTTCAGGTATATATATTTATGTGTGTCTCTCCTGTGAAATGTCTCCATGCTTTAAGTTTCACAAAGCTCTTTATTTTCTCATACTGCCTGTGCTGCAGCACCTCTTTTCACCCTCTGTCTGAAACCAGAGCCCAGTCTGCTCTGATTGGTAGCTGGCAGGCTCTGTTGTGATTTGTCAACCCCCTTAGTGACGTCCCCGCCCCCTTAGCCTATCACGTACTGTACAACGTGTTGGAGAGCTAGCCAATGAAGCCGAGTGTAACGTGTTGATGTCACTACTTCGCGGCACCCGTAAACAAAGGAGTCCAATGGAGGTGTTTTCAGGCGGGGGGTGGGGGGGGGGGCTGATGGTTGGAGTGTGGGGAGAGAAACTCCCTCTGGAGGGAACTTTGGGATTTGAGCCTTTGCAGACCAATTTACTTGCACACAAACCTATAGAACACACGACAGGAAAGGAAACAAAAAAAGATAATAGGGCCTCTTTAATTCTGATTTGGGGCAGATGCAGGTCTGATATTTCTTTTGGAACAGTTCAATCTGAATTCATGTGACTTTTCTGTCTAATTTGACATTGTGTATACAGTGGAGGGACAGTGATCACCTGCTTCCTCTGTAGACCAACACCATGCCACCATGCTTCTGAAAGTTATCTGTGTGTGGACTTCTTTGTAATTCTTATTTTGTGCAATTGCGGGTCAGTTCAGGACCAGTTCACACAATAATGGTCACTTCTAAAAATATAACGGAAAACAGCCAAACCAAAGAATTCCCAGAATTGAGCACTAAAGCTGCAGTGTGAACGTAGCCTACCTCTTTCTTCTTGTAGGTCCAGTATGCTTCTAAGCTACAGATTGGACACATTATAAATCTCCGGTAACAGTAGCATTGAGGTTTCTACTAAGTCTGACTACAGTGCTGTACACCACCCTCTAGCTCAGCACAATGTTAATTACATGAGCACAATGCTAGAAGGGGGTGATTGTTGCTTAGCTGTACACGTCCCATTTGGCTCCTGCACATCACAGGTGGTGTTCTCAGTGTCCCGCCACCTGCCCCCTGCTAAGCAGCCTGCATGTGCCCAGTCAGTGGGTTCACTTACAGCACATGGCAGCAGTTGTACTGAGCCAGCGGCAGGATCTTGGGCTTGTTCTGTGTGGGTATGTTGAAGGCCAGAGCTTTCTCACACAGGGGGAACTGGAAGAGTCTCTCACGCAGCTTTAGGCTGTGTCGTTTCCCCTGCTCCACCCTCGGAGCAGCCTCTTCCCGGGGTGGAGATCTGTCCGTTAAGAGGTCCTCTCTCCCCCCCTCCTCTGTTCTCTCCTGTTTCTGCGCCTCCTTGTCGCTCAGGATGAGTCTTGGAGAGGAGGCGGGGATGGAGGGCTCAGAGGGATCAGGGAGGAGAGGAGGAGCCTTGTTGTTGTTGGGTTCTGTCTCCTCGTCGCTTCCTTCCTCCGGGCTCGGGGACTCCGGCTGCCCCCGACAGCACGGTACCACCAAACCAGGCAGAGAGGACGGTGGGAGGGCGGGGGTCGGCCTGAGAGGCCTGTCTCCATGACCGACAGGCTGGTCTGAAATCACACACCCACTGTCTTCCTCCTCTATCTCCATATCTTCCTCCTCTTCCTCCTCCACTATCTCCATTAAGCTTCCTAACCCTTCTTTTTGGTCATCTGAACCTTTAAGTATCTCCTCAACTTCTTTTTCTGCCTCTGCTTCTTGCAAAGATTCTAAACACCTTCACCCTCTTTTGCCAAACTCCCCTCCTCCTTCTCCTCCTCCTCCTCCTCCTCCTCCTCCTCCTCCTCCTTCTCCTCCTTCTCCTCCTCCTTCTCCTCCTTCTCCTCTCCTCTCCTCCTCCTTCTCCTCCTCTTCCTCCTCCTCCTCCTCCTCCTCCTCCTCTCCCTCACATATCTGCTGTAGTGCAGGAATGTTCTTAGGGACAGGTGGCTCTTCAGCGGGAGGAGGTCTGAGGGTGAAGCTGAGGCTGGGTTGCCAGTGGCCAGGGAAGGTCTGAGGTTGAGGCGGGGGTCTTGCGGCAAGCAGATCCCCACACTCAGGTGCTCCTGAGCGGGGAGAGCCTGGAGAGAGGGCCCCTGAGAGCCAGTGTGGCGGGGCCTCGGGGCTCAGTAGGGCGTCATCCAGCCCCTGCAGCCAGGATGAGCCTGGATCTCCTGCAGCGAGGCGCGCAGAGACGGGGCCTTCTGCAGCATCCTGGAGATCAGGCTGAAACACACAGAGCGTTATTGTTTCACAGAGATATGAAAAGCTTGCATTTTCCATAGCCTGAATTGACACAGACAATAACCTGATTATATCTGATCTAGGTCATCTCCCCACATCTTACTAAATAGCTTGAGCACTGTATTAAAGTCCAGAAGGTGTTCTGTTCTATTCTGCTCCTTCTCAATAATCAAACAGCATCATGTGACTGAGTCATATGACAAGTTTGTTTGCCCTGTTCTGCTTGAAAGCAAGTACCTGCCTCCTGAAAACTGTTCAAACAAACGCTTCAACTTGTACCATTTAGAATCTGTATGTTTGAATATGGATCTTAAGTTGGCGTGACGTTGAAGTCGTGCCCTGCTGTCGTTCGTTTATAGCATAACGTTAGCATTTTGCTTCTGGCGATTAGATATATGATTCGAAAATTATAAAAGTATGGTAGACATGTGGATATTATCCGGCTGAACAAAACGTGCATTTATCAAACAGGTTCGTTTTCCACAGACCTTATTTAGAGCTATTTTCCAAAATCCTATGGAGAAATCCCATTGCTTTTTGTTCGAGGGAACCCATGCGCAGCTTACTTCCGGGTCGGCCTACAAAAATACGTCATCACTGCATACTCCTATAGCATGAATGTATAAAGAGTGTGCACATGAGTTTTCCTTAAGCCCCGCCCTCAATCTCCTACTCTCGACTCAGTCAAATGAACGCAGTGAAAATAACTGTAGCTCCCTCCTTTAAGCGCATTTAACAACTTTTATAAAGTATTTCGTACTGGGTAGTCTATTAGCAAAAAATAAATAAATGGTACACTGATTACAGTGTGTTTTGGATACACACTCACACACAATACTTGTTAGGATGATTATTTCATTCGTTTATGTGGAAATTCCCTGCTGCATCATTAAATTGATACTTAACTATGGATGTCCCTAGGTTTAATGCTAGATTTTTTAAAGACCTTATTAATACCCACATGATGTGATTTGATAAGGTTACACCTTCAAGAATGACCAATTATTCTGAGAAATTCTCAGCAGTATGTAACAATAAGTCCTCATGATTATTAATTAAATGAATGCAACCCGGATTAGCATCAGTAAATAGAGGGAGGCATTAGCCTTTTTAATATGATTAATTCATAACTACATTAGTCACAGTGCTTGCTATACAGTAGGTCAGATGATGCTGACTGAACAGAAACAAGAACAGGAACTTATGTCGAAAACGCATTTTATGACTAACATCAGAATTAAACAAATATTAAGGACTTTGGTACATTTAATTCAAGGATTTGTAATACTTTCTAAGATTACTTTTTGAAGAGGCCCTATTTTGCTTTTTGGGTTTTCCCTTTCCCGGAGTGTGTTATATCAGTTATGTAAATGCTCTGCAAAGTCTAAAATCCCTGTGTTCCCTCCAGAGGGAGTTTCTCTCCCGCACACTCCCCCCCCCCCCCCTCTGCCTGAAACGCCTTCATTGGACTCCTTTGTTTACTTGCGTAACATAATGACATCACTATGTTACACTCTCGCCTCTATGGCTAGTGCTCCAACACATTTTTTCATCATTCACTCTCCAACTGTATTTTATGTTATCTGTAAGCTGAGGACAGTGTGTGTTTGGTTGGAGGTGTTAGGAGTGAAAGTGAAGTGAGAAAACCCACGAGTAAATATGAAGCAAGAGTCTGTGTGCATCTTACGGACTGGAATATGGTCTTAAGGAGACAGATGTTCAAACTATTTCATTAGATAACACTCTAACACTGTTTAAGCCACAAAACAAAGTGTTCAGTGTTTTAGCTGGAGCTGGAATTGGCAGCAGGGTGAAGAAGTGTCTGATATAACTAGGACACTAGCATTATCCAGTGAAACGCACACTAATTAGATAATGTCACGGTCAGCAGCTTTTAGACAGGCCGTGGAACAGCAGAAAAATCTCTGGGAGCAGAATAAGCCTTTATATGAAGAATCAATTCACGCAGAAGGAAATAAACCCATAGAGATAATATAATCTTTGTTTTTTTACACATAATCAGTTTGTTCTGAAGCTGTGATCAGAGCTTAATCTTATCAAGCGTTGCCATGTTCTGACCCTGGTGTCATTCATCAGTACTCACTCTCTGCAGTCGTCTGAAACGTGTTCGGGGGAAGCTGGTAGCGGCAGTCCAGAATCATGACCAGAGTCTCGCTGTCGTTGGTTTCCTGGAAAGGAGGGACTCCACACACCAACATGTACAGGATCACCCCGAGAGACCAGATATCTGGAACACACAGAAAAGCACACAAATCTGCCATAAATAGCAAGTCATGTCAGACTCTAAAAAGCCTACTGCTATCAGATTATAATAACATTTCCAGGGGCCTCATAAGAGATATTTAAAAATAAACCTCCCTTTTGAAATTGACTTGAAAACCCCCTTAAGTTATTTTCGACTGCATTGAACCGATTTTGTCCTACAAATATACATAAAGGATCAACTCTAGATCCACAGTATAAAAAAGCAGTATTTATTGATAACATACGTAGTGGTGCAGTGATGACGTATTTTGTAGGCTGACCCGGGAGTTAGCATTGGAAACGGCTCCCTCGACAAAAAGAAATGGGATTTTCCCATTGGATTTTGGAATATTGCAAAAAACAAACGCCTGTTATGGTACTTACACATATGTTTACACCACTTTTATGACATAATGCAATTAACAGAGGTAAAGTTAACGTAAGCCTATCACCACCGCTAAGCTAAAGGTGGCTAATGTTTTGCGTGATGACATTTACTATACTTTTTTTGAGTTACTTGTTGTTAGCAACCGCTGTTTTATGACACAGCAGAAGCTTCGGACATACACCAGTGGGGTATTTATTGACATAGTTTATGACCTAGAACAAAATGTTTAAATCTCTTAAGCTTGTGTAAACCACAGATCTTTTTTTCAGGCCACCTAACCAACACCACGTCAAAAATAAACTTTGAGACGAGGGAACTGGAAGTGCTAAAAATGCTAACTCACTTCTGGGGTTTAAGGACTCATTTCTGCACAACTACATTTCCTCTCGCCTCCTCCATATCCTAGAGGATGGTTCAGAGGTGAGCATCAGAGCAGCGTTCCTGCCAAGTGCTATATTATGTTAATCCTCAGTTAAGTGAAAGAATATAAGAGGAAAGAGAATGATTTACAGCTGGATGTTTTATGTGTCTAAAGGAAGGGGCCTAAGCTGCAGACGGATGGGCTTGGTGTTCTGGACCCATGACTCAAACACACACACATAAACACCACACACACACACAGGCTTCCCGTGTTGCCCGACAGTGCTGACACTGTGTTATTTTCCCGTCTCCTCCCTTTCCTTCCTCCTCCTCTCCCCCTCCCTCTCTCGTTCTCATGCAGATGCATTGAGACGAGGTCCATGCAAACTCAGAACACAGTGGCGGCCGGTTCAGGGAAACGCACACACATGCAAAGGAAAGGGAGCTGAGGGCTGAAGGCCATAACAAACAAAAGGCTTGTTGTGGTGTTGAGCTATTCTGAGAATAGCGTTCCCTCTTTTTGTCTGTCTCTTCTTGTGTTTCTCCCAAACACTGGGGAAAAGAACACCGCACACAGATAACCCTAATGTAACTCTACGAATAAAGCTAGTTCCCATATCTAATAAATACCACCTCTGCTTAAATCACAGTTCTTATCAGTTCTTTTAGACCTTGGTCTTTTTCCCACAGTTTTACTATCTCAATCTGTCATCAGTTTTGTCATTGTTACTACAAGGACCAGTATATATAAAAGGGATTTAAACACAGTAGCACATTCATCCTTTTCAAATTGGCTGTATAGTCCCTACATTTTTCACTTTGTGTCAATTTAATAATTTGAAGTTTCTTCACACATTTTTGTTTTCTACCCCTGGCTGCTGTATTAGCACAGATCAAAAGGGATGTATTGTTTACTACAGAGTTCTTTACAGTTTCTACACACTGCTGCGTACACATGTATGTATTATGTACTTATGATGTTAAATTAACCATAATGAACAAACGCAACGTTGGTGCAGTAGCTCTGTGGATGCCAATGTTGTCATGCGATAGATTGATATGAAAAGTTCTCATCATTCATGATCTCCAGAGGATATCCTTATGACTTTGGTGACTTTTCGTGTTTTCCTTATCAGGTCACCAATACTTTGCTGACCAAATACCTGCAGCACAGATCAACCCCTCAGCCTCAAATGCCATTGTACCTTGGGAAATGTCCACTACACTGAGATAGTAAAGTAAACATTATACCTGCTACAAATCAGCATTTTAGCACTCGTGAGCGTGTTAGCATGCTGACGTTAGCATTTATATCAAGGCCCCCACTGACCCTCATTACAGGCCTCACAAAGACGCCAGCATGGAAACAGTGTGAGTCAATAATAACGTATTATCTTTTGTCTTTCCTGATGTCTAGCTTACTAACAGCATCATTTCTGAGAATATATATGTACAGAACATAAGATATGATAAGAATGTTCACTTTTGTGCAATCAACCACCCAATTAGTTCAGACTATTAATAAATAACACGAGATTGTGCAATGTGCAACTTTTGACATATATAATATTGCATTGCATCGATTTAGTGAGAGAGATAAAAGAGTAATACAGTCCTATCAGGAAGAAATGCCAGATGATCTGCCTATTTTAATTAGCTTTTTCATTTAAATATCCAAAGCAAATGAGATGAATAGGGATTGAAAGCTCTTCTCTTTCAGAGACAATGAGTTTTCAAAACACTGGTTAATTCAGATCCATATCTATCTCACACGTACCAGTCCCATGTGTAAAAAACATTACGCTATTGTCCTAAATTATCCCCACAATGGTCGGAACAACGGCCCTCAGTCCTCACCGTACAATGTGAACTCGTGTGCACGCCCACGGGCACGCTCATTTCAGTCCAGTGAAGTGTTATGCAACAGGGAGGAGACACTGAGTGCGGGGAGAGTACTTTTCCTCTGCTCACTGGGGAATATCACACATTCTCACTGTGCATTAGTGCCTGCTGACACACACACACACACACACACACACACCACACACACACACACACACACACATCACACACACAAACACACACACACAACACACACACACACACAAACACACACACCACACACACACACACACACACACACACCACACCACACACACAACACACACAACACACACACACACACACACACACACACAGTACTGCAAAAGGAGCGAACGATCCTGGGATGTGGCCTTTTTTTAGGGATGCCCTGTTCGAAGTGCGCAATGCAAGACGTCATAAAGGGGTCAACAACAGTCAGCCCCGTTCCAAAGGGACCTCTAAGTTCAGAGAGAAAAATGCAGCTCTTTTTTGCCCAGATTTTCATGCAATTGTGTCATCATTCAGGTCATCAGTCACCAATGAAGAAACTATATGAAATGAACTGGTCCTATTTTAAGCCATTTGTTAAGCTAATTATATTTACAAATCTTGTTATTCTGATTCTGATTATATTCCAACCGACATTAATGAAACTGGGAGGCAAATGATTCTATGTACATTTATTGTGTGTTCAGCTTTAACTGAATATTATGCAGCAGGGACAACTGCTCACCTCAACAAAAAGCAAATGGGATATTTAATTTAATTGTTGAGTTATAGTAGAAAAAAGTCTCAGGGGCAATGAAACACAAATGATATTTCCACATTTTGCCCAGCAAACTCACAAATGAATAGCACCTTTATGATGTTTGAGGTTGTTAATTCAATTGGCAGAAGTCAAAAGCTCACTTTAGGCTATAAGCTAGCTACACCGCGGTCGTATGCTATAACTCACCTTCTAGTGACAGTATAGCGTAAGTTGACATTTTTTTTCTTTGGAATCAGATGAGATGCTTCATGGATAATGTACAGCAAGACATAGTGTATACAATACAATGTTTGCACACACTTCTAAACAGTTATTATAATCATGTAAGATCAGAGCAATGTGGTTGATTTGAAATTGTATTATTTTAATGAAAAAGTAAGGGACTTGCAAGAGACAAAAGCAATTCAAAAATGTGGTCTCAAGTGTGGGTTAAATACCGAAATATTAACATAGAAGACATTAGAAAATGGTTTTCAAAGGCTGAGTGGTACTCTCGCTGACAAGTCAGTGGGAAAGATGGTCAAGTGCCCCCTTACAAAATGGACTTTGTTAGTTTAATGGGGCCCTATCATGCTTTTGGGGGTTTTCCCTTTCCTGTAGTGTGATATATCTGTTTTTGTGCATGTTAATGATCTGCAAAGGCTTAAATCGCAAAGAGAGGGAGTTTCAGTGACATCACTATGTAACACACACTTCTTTGACTAGCGCTCCAACAGATGGCACGTGATGGGCTAAGGGGCGGGACATATCTAGGTGGTGGACCAATCACAACAGTGCCGGTCAGCTAACCAATCAGAGCAGACTGGGCTCTGGTTTCAGACAGAGGGTGAAAAGAGGTGCTGCAGCACAGGCAGTATGAGAAAAATAAAGAGCTTTTTGAACATTAAAGCATGAAAACATGTCACAGTAGAGACACTAGATACTAATATGAACCTGAAAATAAGTATAATAGGGCCCCTTTAAGATGAAAGAGAAGATATTGTGAAATAAAATATATCTAAAGGTTGCTGTTAAGTATGTAGTCAGAATCAATAATGTAAACAGTTGCTGTCCACTTCACATCTTGGGAGCACATTCACACACTCAATCCCTTGCTGTTTCCAAAGGACTCATTTATCATTTCTGTCGTATAATTTCCCCTAAAGTCATGTGACTGTTATAGGATTGTGTTTCTAAGAGGGATGATTTGTTGTTGGTTATATTTCCAACATGTCTAGTGGGGGTGTGCAGGATCTGGGCTTTGCAAATCCTTGTTGGTGTAAACACAGTCCAGAAGCCCTCAGGTTGATGTGGAAAAACACTGACAAAGAGGCTTTGTCGTTAAAAGACTCCCACGTTATTTAGCTGTTCCTTCATCTAAATGGGGATGCTTGTGGAGGGGGGGGGGGGGGCTTTCCATGTACTGCTCCCAGCTTGGCAAACAAGCAACCACCCCCCTCCAACCTGGGGCAGAGAAAATAGCTGACTAAGCGTTATGGGGGCCAAAGAAGGAATGGAAAGTCATTATTCTAAATCAAAGTTTTTGCTGTAGTTCAATAATTATTTTGGTTTTTGTTTTATTTTTATATATTTAGGATAAGTCACATTTAGGGATGCCCTCATA